TATCACATTTCTTTAGGAAAGTGTTATTCTAACAAATTATGCTGTGTCAGTGTTATATGTAGGACAAGAAAGTTACTTTGATGAATGCTTTATACTATATACAAATGTAAAATCAAGGGTTAGACAAAGATGTCCCAAATATGATAGCAAAAGCATAATCCAATAAAACAGCAAATCCATAAATTGAACTTCATCAAAATTTAAAACATCTGCTCAGTGAATACTCTTACAGAAATGAAAAGTCACAGAAATATTTGGAGACAATATCTCTTATGTAAAATATATATAGAAGGTATATAAGAACTTTTAAATGTAAACAACCCAGTGAAATATTAAACAAAATATTATACAAACTAGAAAGAGAGAGACAAAGAGATAGCACACACATGAAAAGATGTTCAACTTCATTAGCCATTAGAGAAAAGCAAATTAAAATTATAATAGGATACAACTATAATCGATTAACATGACTGAAATTTTTAAATCTTACCTTTTTTTTTTTTTTTTCTGGTACCAGGAATCAAACTCATGATGTTGCGCTTGCCAGGCAGGCACTGTGCCGCTGAGCTAAATCCCCACCTGCAAAATCTTACCATTTAACGATGGAACTATCTAGGAATATAAAGTGATATAAACACTTTGGAAAAAAGTTTGACAGTTTCTTAAAATGTCAAACATACACTTGTCATATACCAACCATTTCCCCTGTTGGGTATTACTGAAAAGAAATGAAAGCAAATATTCATTAAATATTTGTACATAAGTATTCATAGAGGCTTTATTTGTAGTAGCCCAAAACTTTAAACAACCCAAATGACCATCTACAGGTGAATGGATAAACAAACTGTAGTATATTCAATGCTGTATATAAAATAGATTACTTGGCAATAAAATGAAATGAATTATTTACACATCCAATGTAAATGCATGTCAAAATAATTATGGTGAATGAAGCAAACAAAACAAGTACATACTGCAGGACTCCATTTATCCAGAATCCTTGAAAATGTAAAACATTCTACAGAAACAGAAAGTACACAGTGGTTTCTTTGTGTTAAGAGATATGGGAGATCAAGAGTGAAAGAGTCACAAAAGAATGTGAAGGTGGTAGGTATGTTTATTGCCTTGATTTTAGTGATTTTTAATGGATATATACATATCGATATATACCATACATATATAAAGATTAAATTCTATACCTTAGGCACATGCATTGTCTTAAGTGGAGCAGAGGTTATATGCTTGGGGAATTTGAGGTAGGCAAGAAGTGAAGGGTACTGTAACTTCAAGACATTTTAAAAGAACAACATCATCCTACTATGTCTTTTACATTCTTCACCGTAATGCAAACAGCTGTCAGTTAGATATCTTCATGGTGATCATTCCACTAATAATAATTATTTCATGTGTAAGCTATTTAAGGTAATATTCTAAGAATTATATTTCTAAGAAAAGACATCATGCTATGAATACCCATATTAAGAAACAACAAGATCTCTTTTTATATAGGTATTTTTGGTCTTTTTGAGACAGGGTCTCACTATGCAGTTCAGGTTGGCCTTAAACTCACTTTGTAGTCGAGGCTGGTCTCAAACTCTCAAGGATCCTCCTGCCTCAGCCTCCCAAGTTCTGGGATTACAGGTGTGCGCCACCACTTTTGGCTCAAAATCTCTTTTTATAACCAGACTGAAAGAAGAATGAATTTGGTAAAGTGGTTTAACCCTTCTACTTCTTATCTCATTTCAGCTATGAGAGATTTTGTAGGGTTTTAGATTGAAATTTAATAGCTATGCTTCTATGGAAATTTTTTCCTGTCTTCTTTGCACTTAAATTTAGTATGACAAATGATTGCTTTTGGAAATATTTTCTCGAAGACTTGAGAATTGTTCGAAAGCATACATAATCATCAAAATACTGCTTCGGTCTCCTCAAGAGATTTAAAGAGAAATAGACTGTGAGCTCTGTGAGGGAAGCCTCATCCCTGTGTGCCCAGAGAATGACATTTGAGGGTATAAGGAATAAGGAATCGGAGAACAAACATGAAGATTGTTGGGTAGGAAGAATAGCTCCAAAGCTAACCAGCTGCATGCCTACCTCAGCAAATCACTATGACAATTCAGGCCTCATAATCACTTGATTGCATACCTTCAATACAAATATCAATCATGTTAAAATACCATGTGCAGTTAGCTATTAGTCACTTTATGACATGATATTCTCTTAGGGAAACAAACTTTGAGAAACTTGGGGATTGTGGCTTTCAGCATAACTCCTCCTATCCCAGACACAATCTCCAAGACTATATTCTCAACTGGACTTGATAAAAGCTGTGCTTCTACTGTTTCTTTGTTTAGGTGGAACTAACTGCATGGGCACACTTAGGGCTAACTGCTTCCAACAGTGTCTGTGCAAAAGCACTTCTCTCTACCCAGCCTATTCTCCCTACAGTGACATATAGAAGAGAACAGTCATCCCCAAAGACAAATTTTATGTTTTCCTAAAACCTTGGTTAGTTGGTGACCAGTTTTGAACCACTGTGGTACTTGCTTTGGTTAATTGCACTTTTAAAGCTCTTCCTGTTTTGAGTAGGTAAGTACTAAACATTGTAAAGGAAGTTTATAAATTATAATTGTAGTATATGCTTGGTAGAAAAGAAAGAAAGAAAGCAGGAAAGAAAGAAAGAAAGAAAGAAAGAAAGAAAGAAAGAAAGAAAGAAAGAAAGAAAGAAAGAAAAAGAAAGAAAAAGGAAGATGGAGAGAAGAAGGGAAAGAGGAGAAGAAAAGCAGAAAAAAATGAGAGGATTCTAAAAGCATCAGTCAAACACTTTACTTAGTAGTATCATTCCTCCAACACAATTTGAAAATAATCCAGAAAGGTATTTTGTTAGGGTTGTTTAGGCTACAGAAGGAAAACTTGGGGTTGCTTAATTGTTGCCTCCAAATGTATGGATGATTTCCATGAAATTAAAACTTGCTACTTTTTCCCTTTTTCATGGTGACTTGAATGAAATAATATGGTATTAAATTAAGTCAGAGGCAATTTACATGGGGTATAATGAAGATCTTGGATTTCAGAATTGTAACAGCAGAATTCCTCCAAGAAAACACCAAGAACTCTTTGTCTTTCATGGTCATCCAAACAAAATGTTTAAAGAAGGATCAAAGGAAGTAAAAAAGGAAGCAAGAAAGGGAAGGGGAAAGGAAGGGAGACAGAGAAAGAGATAGAGGAGAGAGAGGGGGAAGTGAGGAGGAGAGAGAGGGAGAGAGAGAGAGAGAGAGAAGGAGGGAGGGAAGGAGAGAGGGAGGAAGAGAGACTTCTTTGCCAGTTCCCTGAGCCAAAATAGCCCTGTTTACAGTCCTGTCCCTGGTGTTACTTCTACTGCACTGACCACCAGTCTTACCACTTACCCTTTGTCTCTTTCAATTATCGTTGACAAAGGAGGCTCTGCTTTAGCCTGATCTTGAAGATTTCTAAATCCCTGCCAAGGAGAGGCTAAATAGAAATCGAATGAAGCTTGCAGTAGTACATCCAGGGCTGGTGATGTCTCACATGTGGTGTAACTTAACACCGAGTAACTCAGAATCTGGGACATGTGGTGAAAACAGGCAATTGTATAACTTTAGTACTGCACTGCCAGGTCACATCTTCCTATGTGGGGTGAAAACAATATCAGGACAGGAAACGAGGATATGGGGAAAAGAAACATGACCCTTCTTTTCTCTGGAACTGAGATTGGTGCTGCCTGGATATTAAGATAGAACTGGTAGGAAATGTCTAGTGTTGGGAAATGAGATGTGAGGAAGTAGCTTCATCAAGCAGGGAAGAATTCCAGGAGACCCTGCCCAGGTCTCTTACAAGCCTCCCTTTCTGTTTCAAAACACACTACTAAAATTAAACCAGAGCCTCTTTACCAGCACAGCAGAAGCTTTAGCCAGCCTTAGATGACCTTAGGGAGACTGAAGTAAGAAAAGTGGTAAATATGCGAAGGGAAACAAAGCTGGAGTTTACATAACAAAGCTGGGTTCTGGGAGCACATTTTTGAACATGAAAAAGAAGATCTCAGAATGATAAATGGCCTAACAGAGCTAGAACAATGTCCACAGGAAACAAAGTGATTCTCTTACAGAGCTCAGGAAAAGTGAGAGCTGCAGACAGAAGCTGCAATCCAAAGTGGAACAAGGCATGAGAGACAGAGAGAAATTCCTCACACTTTACACAGAAACAATCTCAGGGATCAGCGTGTCATCCTGTTCAACCAAAGCGATGGCCCTGCCGTTACTCCTGAAATTTCAGAGAAGTTATTCCTTGCAGAATTTGTACCTGAAAGATCCTGACTTAGAGAAAGCCATGGGTGAATTCCACACTCATGCCGGCGATGGAGTTCTCCTCATCCTTTGTGACTGGCTGATGCTCCCTGTTCAGTGCAGAAGAGTGGACACTTTCTCTGGTGAAAAAAGGAAATGAACAATTTGAGGATCCCCCATTATCATAGTTGGCAGTATAGACACAAAACTTTACTGCCTCAGAAATCAGAAATATGGGACATCAGAAGACAGATATTTGAGGAAAACCCCTAACTCTTAAAACAGGGCAAACACTCAAAAGACACCACTGTCTCTATAGTGACTCAAAGTAAGATAGGGATGCATGAGCAGAAAAACATGCAAGCCAAAATTATTATTCCTTGAAAAATAATAGAAAATACTAGGTCCATGCAGAAAATACTGATGCCATTTTAAAAAGGTTAAGCAAGATGGGGAAATCACACAAAAGTGAATTTAAATTTCAAGAGAACAGAGAGATAATAAAGTTAAGAAGCCCATGTAATAAAATAAAATGATAAAGAGACAACCAACAGAACAGAAATAAGTTGTCCTGCATGTTAATTGGATTTGCTAACCCAGAGTGGTAGCCCTGTGAGCGTCCTACCATTTTAGACGCAGTAGACTTCAGAGGTTCTGTAGTAATGTGAGAGGAAACGAATACACACCAGGCTGACCTCACTCTGAGATCACTCAGTCACACGTGAGAATCGCTGCTTAGAGATATTTCTTTTGGCTTAAGCCAGGTCTCAGGTATCCCTGTGAGCACAGTATTATGCTTGCTTCTCTTACATGGAGCTTCTAGAAGAAAAATGCAGTCATCACTCATACCCAAGGAACATTTTCCAAGGAACGGGGCTACATTAGGTTACCATTGATATCATCCATCCTGTGCTTTCCATCCAGTCCTAAACAACTTCTTGGGACCTTGTGATTTTCATTGCCTTCCCTGGGGACCCAGGCTCCAATAGAAATTCTACCACCTAGGCAACTTTCCTTGACCATGTTAGAAGAAGAAGAATTACATTCATAAGAATAATACAGCATATAAGAGGTAGGTAGAATTTACATATCAACCAGGAAAAAGATGAAAAATATTCCAAGACAAGAAAAGTGGAAATTACTCACTAGATGGTTCTGTTTTATAGATGGAAAAAATTGTGGGTGGAAAAGTGACATTTCATTTATAAAGCAGTTAGCCTTTTCTCATTTCTAAGTGACAAGCACAAAAGAATAACACGTTCCCAGAAGCTTAATACCTCTCCAACCTCATTGAATAACAGGCTTATTCATATACCCTAATGAAGTACTCTCGGAGGACAGCTAGGTATATACACTTTCCAGGAGTATTCTTGTGATTCTTTTGCTATATTAATAATTCTCTTTCTGTCATAAATTATTTTAAGTGTATTATTATTACTACAGGTTAAATAGTCACGGTAGTCTTAAGATAATATAACCCACAGAACATAATTATTTCCTTCACTTCTATTGGTTGAAAATCTCCTTACATACCAAAGTGTAGTTCTACTTAGCATATATGATCTATACCTAGATTGTTCCTTCATTAGAGGTAGCAATAATGCTCTATTTAAAGAAGTTTTATTAAATATATCTTTTCATCACTCTAAAAAGACTCCAAACTAAAAGTACCATGATTTGATATAATAATTTTAAGTAAATTTTATACGGTTTTGATCTTCATGGAAATTTTACTCATGAGAAGGATGCAAGCTAAAGAGGAATCACAAAATTAGTGGGAGTCTTGTTTTTCCATTTCTTAAATTGCAGTATTGAGTTTGTATTGATTTATCCATGGCATAAAACTAGCAAAAGCTAAGACTTTATTTTATCCAACTGAATTTTTCCCTCCAGTTGAATAAAATGTTTTACATACTGATGTTCATCATATAAAGAAAATGTACAGAGTTTTGTAATCCTAATTTGCAAATCTCAAATATCCGAGCCTAATGTTTCCACTTCTAAACTGTATAACATACTTTCTTTTATTTGAAAGAAATTTGAGAAAATTTCATAACTTGTTTTTTTTCTTCCCACTCAATTCATTTCTGTGCCTTATTTAAGCAATTCCTTTGAAAATCAGAAACTCGGCATTGTTCTTTGTCTTGCTGAAAAGAATCCTCCTCCCACAATTGTTCTTTGGTTAGAAATGCTGATTATGATTTCTCTAACGAGGTTGTATTAAATGTATCTTTTCATAGCATTTTAAAGATTCCAAAATAAAAATAACATGATTTGATACAATAATTTTAAAAGGACAGCATTTAGAAAGTTTTACTCTTGGGAAAATGGAAGGCCATTTTTTAAAGATTGTTAAGCACTCGACAGGCATATTATTGTTTTTTCCACATGGAGGCCATCAATCATGGTAAAGTGAGATTTCTCCTGAACTTTTTTGTTTGCAAACCATTAATCTGCCTGGTCTCTTAATTACTTAGTTCATTTTGCAGACAGGCATAATTCCCTCTGCTTAACGAGCAGTACAAGTTTTATTATGAATGAAAAACCTAAGACTTCTCTATCACTTTCCCCAGTGTTATGAGATTTTAACCCCTCCAGGTGCCAGAACCCAAAGGCCCAATAGTCACTCTGTGCCCTGCTTCAAAAGGATCCTCCTGATCTTTTGCCTGGAAATTTTATACTGACATTTTTTCAAACTTTTTACAATGAGTATGTCATATTATTTTGTAGAAACTGAAAAACAATTTATAAATAAGAGATAACTAAGAGGATATAAAGATACAGATGATACAGATATATACTATAGATAGTATAGATAGATATAAATGCTATGTAGATATAGACATATTGCATTGGTGATTTATTATTTATTTGTTTTATTTTGGGATTAAAATGGAGGGATTTGTTTCTGGAAAGTTTGAAGAAGACACACTTAAAAATTGGAGGAGTTAAAAGAGGACTCTTGGTGATTCTAAAGGGAATCCAGTATCTTGGGGATACTGAAGGGGCAACCATGAACTCAGATTCATATCCAGATAGAAGCAGGATGACAGAACTCAGAAGAGCCTCTACTATAAATTGACACAGCTCTTCTTCAGTGGCAGTGTGATCATATCCTTGACAAAAGACAGGAACTGTTCCTTCCCTCATGCCAGTTCTCTTGTCCCCACTAAGTAATTGTTCATAATGCTGTTATGGCTTATGTCTAGATATCTCCCCAAAGCCTCATTTGGCCATAGGAGGAGCTTTCCGGAGGTGGCTACAGTGTATGATGCTGGGATTAAGGGTGTGATGCTGTTATTGATTCATGTTGCAAAGTTAGGATTAAGGGTGCCCCTACCTGGATAGCAAATAAGCAATAGAAAGAGGGCTGCTGTTGTTGCTGCTTGGTGATTTGCTGCCTTCTGCCTGCCATGTACTCCTGTCTGCGATGCCACCCTGACTTGGACAGGGTGATTAGGGGCTAATTAGGGACTGAAACCTTTACAAACTGAGCCAAAATAAACTTCCCTCCTTTAACTTTGGATGTTGGGTATTTTCACTCAGAAATGGAAAAAAAAGTAACTAAAATAGACATCAAATGTGACTGTAAATATTTAAATGCGACCTGTCCTATCCTGCAGACGTACGCAAATGGCTGTAATGTGTGACACTCTGCTTACATTAGAATCACCTTAATGCTGATGTCTGTACACCCTAGCGCATCTGTTTATATCATCAGATTTGGAAATTTATAACTTTCTTTGAGAATCTTTCTAGTGCATCATAGAGTCCCCAGTGATACTTTTGCTGACCACTCTACTCATTATAGATGTTCAGTAATTCTGGATAAAAGAGAGGATAGAAACACATGGATAAGAGACACTGATTCAGTAAGCAGTATAAGCCTTTCTTTTCCTAGGCATAACGAATAGTATTTATTTGTATTTGAGGGGTTGAATTTACCGAATGAATGATATTTCTTCAACATACCTGGGGATCAACTGAGGGAAACCTTGCAAATGGAGATGAAGTCATTCTGGACAACACGAATGGCAGCAAAGGAGATCTTCCTACTGTATGCTAAAGCTAGGCAGATACCACAGGCCCATGAGCTAACCACAGCTCAAGGAAACGCAAAATTTCAGTGAACCAGTATTATTTGGAGAGCACTTTACACTTATGTTTTCTAAGTCAGTGATTCTCAAATTTCATTCTGCTAAAGAGGCACTTGAAAATTCATTAAAAAACAAATTTTAAGGGGATTCTGATTCAGGGTTCTTGATAGGGCAATTATAGCACATTTTTTGAGACATGACTCTACATTGTATCAGGAGACAGAATTGTTAAAATAAGATACTGAGCAAATAATGTTCTTTTCCTTCATATGCTAAGTTTGCCTCTTCAAAGAGAAATAGCATGGATGAAATTCAATGAGCAATTTGCAGAAAACAAACTAATCATTACTAGTAGTGGAGAAGCACATACACCAGCCTGAGTTTGTAGTGCTTTTGAACGGTCTTTATTACACCCAGTGGCGGACCACAGTACTTGGCTGGAAATGGACAGCATCTGCCTCAGGACATCCTGGGAACACAGATGTGTGCTTTGGCCGGGGAAGTATCAAATACTTCTCTATTATATGGTCATGGTAAGAATGCGGTGACCCATACAAACCTGACAAGGCTTTCCGGTTTCAGGCAATGAATCTCTTAATCTGAAAATTTCCACGTTGTATTTAGGGAATAAGCATTATAAGCGTAAAGTCTTAACTGCTTCAAGCTTGCCAGGGACACAGACGGTGCTGGTGGCAAGGCACCACAAGTGAGACTGCGACTCTCAGTTCTTCTAGCTAACTTCTTGCACCATCCCTGCAGATGCAAGAAAGTTACTGGGATATAAAAGCTGATCATCAAAGGGAAAACTCGTCTTTGTTAATGGCAATATGTTTTAAATGAAGAATGAGTATTGTTATTGCTAAAAAATATATTTTGTCAGGCAAAAGCAGAAAACTGATATTTTTTGAGTCAAATTCCTACTTCGTACCAGACATGCCGAAGAACTCATTGAAGAAAGTGAGGAGTTCACTATTCCAAGAACTCACTGGAAAAATAAATTATACTCTTTGCAACAATGCAGCACTTTGCTGATAATTTTTCCCATAGACATTAGCCATGCCATGGCCAATGTTTAAATTAGCTGGCAAATGTTTCTCTTTATAATTGTTCCTGTTAAAGATAAAATGCTGGCTAATTCAATAGTAGGGAAGAGCAATTAGACAATCAACGAATCACTCTCTTCATACTTTGATTTCAAAAGCTCTGTGTTAGTTTGAGTAATGTTTTATGCTTTGATCAGAGCTATTAGCAGATGGCTGTATTTTATGAAAGACAAGAGTACATCTAAAATTGCAACACGTTTGTGAATTCCAAGCCCAAGTTGCATTAATTAATGTCTATTAATAAGATATAAATTCCTAGTTAAATAGCTATTTGATCTGTGAAAAAAAGAGTGACTTAGCTTGTGTCAAGGTTCTTTTGGTCATGAGTAGCAGAGACCTGCTCCAAGTAGCTGAGGAAAAAGCAAGCTGCATACTGGGTGCATACAATTTTGTTCTTGCACATATTCTCCAGGTTTCTTGGTTACTATGTGTGCTTATGCAGACAGCACGGCTCCTCCTCCAACACACTCTGAGTTCTAATGTCAACAAAGTTATACCCTTTCTGAGCCAGAAGTCTATATTGGTAGAAAAAGGTCAACCAGGTCAGTAATTTTCTTCAAAGTCTACTCTGCACTTGTCCAGGTTGCTCTGGAATAAGAACCGGACACAGTAGTGGAGATAATAATCATTTATCTTAAGAAAACATCTTCTAGGCCACTGAACAAGAATGCTATATCTACTCATTGCAAAATTTCAGTGAAAGCAAAGTCAGTTGAACAGTCTGAGAAAACTGATAGTCAATTATTTATTTTATATATTTATATATTTAATTTAATTTATTTCATATTAATGCTATTTATATATTTTACATAAATATTCAATTCTTTTTCATTTTTAAATTTTTCTGTTGAAGGAAAAATATTAGCTGTCATCTGGTGTACCCTAACAGCACCCAGGCACTGTACTGCGCATCTTAAACGCATCATTTAGCATAATTCTTATGTTTATGTAAATCTGGCATCATTGTCCTCTTCTAAATCTAACACTGTGTTTGAAAGCCCACTCAAGCTGAGTATGGTGGCACATGCCTGTAATGCCAGCACTCGGGAGGCTGAGGCAGGAGGATCATTGTGAGTTCAAGGCCAGCCTGAGGTACAAAGTGAGCTCAAGAGCAGCTTGAACTGTGTAGCGAGACTCTGTCTCAAAAAAAAGACAAAAAACAGAACAAAAACAAAAACAAGAACCCTCTCAAAGGCAAGTGCTCCAAAAAAGCATATGTGAGCACTTACTCTGATTCTCACACCTTTGCTAACTAAACTGTCTTCCTGGACTTTCATTTCACACGAATGTGCATCGATGCGGAGTTTGTGGAAGACTCTTGGTAAGGGAGCTACAGCTTGATTTCAAACCGATTCTCATATTCTGCCACAGTTACTTGGATCATCTGCTTCCACTTGTGAATTTCACTCTATCAACCATCGCTACCATCTCAGAGCATACACAGAGTACAGAAAAAAAAGGAAAATGTAAATACAAACGTAAGCATTTGACCAGTGACACTAAAGGACAGATATCTTCCAAACAGTCACCCAATCCATGTTACTTCTTGTCTTGCTATGATCTTATTCTGTAGTCCTTCGTAAAACATGGATGCCGGTGTATGACATGCCCACATACTAAAGATTTCTTTAATTTAGGCTTCTCAGCTCTTTATATTATACTGGAGCTTGTCTAGTCAGTCAAAGGAAAAGCATAGACTCTTGGTAATCCCAGTACACCATAAGTTAATGAGAGTTGACATAATGCTTACTGGGTTTATTTTTTAGTCCTTACTAATGGGGAAAAAAGTTGTTCAGTCCAACAACTCAAGTATTTATTGAATACTACTAACATTTAATGGGCATTTCATGTGTATTTCTAATACTGCTTTGCAGTGCCATGGGTAAAAAGAATCTTGCTAGCTTAGCATATCGTAAAAGGCCTGAAAAGCCATATAGGAATGAATCCATAGAGAAGCAATCATTAAGATTGGACTGTAGAGGAAATAGATTGCAGAAATTCAAGAATACAAAACTGGTCACCATCTTCATATATTTCATTTTCCTTGACATCAATAAGATCTTTGTCATTACCATCAAGCCAGTCAATAAATATCTATTAATATGTACTAGAAAATGAGCGAGGTCCTTGGGAATCCAGCAGAAGAAACAAACAGAAATGGCTACTTCCTTCCTGGAATTTAGGAAGCACATTCTCCAGTTCCTCACAAATCCATGAGCCTTTCTAAGTAATGTAAAGTACACAGAGTTGCCCCAGCTTGGTCTGTCTTGCACATCCTTGTGCCTCCTTTTTATCTAGAAACCACCTGAGTTTTTCAAGTCTCATTTTTGTGGAAAAAGATAAAAAGGTGAAAGAGTCAAATCGTGAGAGAAAGCAAGACACTGCCTCGCATTCTCTGCAGCTCTCCCTTCTGGATTTAGAAACGCTTATTTTGCACTTTCTGTGCTGAGGGTAAGAGAAGCCTGAGTTATTCTAGGGATTCTGTCTGGATGCAGAGAGAGTATTATCAGTCTTCCCTGTGGAGAAGTGCCCACTTCTACTGCTTTCTTTAGTTTTGAAATGGCACATGTGTGTTCCCCTTCGTAT